ATGTTGATGGGCAGGACAATCCGCCGTCATATGTTGTTGAGGTTAGACATGCTAGTTGCGTCTCTTGGACGCATGTCTGCAAAACTTGGGGTCAGTTTCTGATTTGTAGCTACATAGGTGAATTTAAAGGTGTTTAAAGTTGCTCTAACGAGGCTGAGAATGCGCACGATTTCTTAGAAAATATTTAAAACCAGCTAAATCGTGAGTCATTATTTATTCTTTGTTTGTTTAATTGGTATTGGAAATCCGCGCAACCCTTCGTTTATCGGGTGTTAACGCAATTTGTAGTCATAACGTTGTTTGGGTTAAGGTTATCACCGCAATTTATCTCACGCATCTAGAACCCTTCTGGAAAGTCTTAACGAGGAGAAGTTACTTGTTCTTCCTAAAACGACAATTTCTAGATGAGTCTTACGGTGAGGTTGAGTTTATATTGATTTGACCTGCTCAAAATGTGTTATTGCTAGACCATTTTTGAGTGTTTTTGGCTCTTTAGCTCCCTCGCTTCGCTCTTTAAGGTTGAAAATACCCTTTTGGCTCTAATTCTAGGCCCTTTCCGACGCAATCGACAACCATCAAGGGATTGACGACTATCCGAACTGTGGCGTTATTTATGTGAGAAACAACGAAACACCAATGAAACCGCATTCCCTGATGACCCGATCGGCGACTGATGACATACTGCTTAACTGGCCTGATGGGTCTGCCTCTCACAATGCCAACTCTTGTTCCTTTAATCCTCTGCCACTACGAAGACACTGCTGTCCTAGTACCTCTTCAGACTACAGCTCCTTCGATGTCGTCGAAAGCTCCGCACTGCTTGCCTACTCCGGTGTTTCTGGAGGACCTGTTTGTGGGGGATGTGATAACCTCGATGGGGTTATCCCTTCCCTTCCATGCGGGTCTGTTTCGAGTCAACTTCATTGATTCACGTCATGACGAATTATGCTCTCAGCCGTTTTACAATTAAGAAATGCTACTTTTTTGTACCGAAGTCCAGTTCATTTCTAATGCACTTATTCGCTACCATTTTCGGTAATCAAATATTGGTTGGCCGCCTTTTTACCGCTTTGTTTATACTGCTCTTTCTAGCTCGCAGCATATCATAGAATTGGTAGCAAAACATTGCTCTAAGACAATTACTTGAACACCAAGGCTTTTGTAACCAATTTTTATTTATTCATTACAAAAGCACCAGTTGCTTACACAATCTCGTACTGTTGCTATTTAAGCTGAATCATTTGTTTGTACCAAAATACACTTCTCTTTGACGTTTATTCTTTGGGAAGATAACTTATGATGCGAACTTATGTAGAAGCATTGGTTACTCTAGTTATTGCCTCCAAAGCTTCTGTGGAAACTGCTCTGAGACTCTTCGGGACTTCAACAACTGCAAATCCATCTGTGGCACCTGCGACAGTGGATGTCTGTTGGAATCAAGTGAGACACGTCAACCTGTCGCCGACTCTTATTCCGAAGAAGAGGAGAACGCATACCGTCGGGGCTACGCTGCTCACCTATCCTGTGCTCCCCTTCCCAGTAGCTGCACCAGCCGCACCACACCCACCGCTATGCCGTGCTCGCCTGCCTGCGCCGATGGAGGGATGTGCCGGCATCTTGAGCGGCGGTTCCCATCAGGCTCTTCTCTCACGTGCTCAAGCGCCCACAGCCAAAATGGAACTGCTAAAGCTTGAGACAACTTTTCTGTGTATATCCCAAATCTAATTTCTTTCCCTCCCTCTACAGATGCAGCTACTCTTTCCAACGGAACGCTACATTCACTTACCTCCCTGTACACTAATATCTCAGAATATTAAAAAAGAGAGAGAGCTCATGCACTTGCGTTTGTGCTGATTTCTCTGTAATTGCGGATAAGGCTTCCAACCTCTCTATTTTGCTCTACTTTTCTCAAGTGTTGAAATACCAATGTTTAGCTTGCTCCTGCTCTTTTATTCCTCCTATCTAGTAGTGTGCTACCTCTGGCGTCTTTACAGTTTATTAAGGATTGAATAAACTCTTTTGCACTTAGGCGTTCTTGCGTTGATGAACTTTTCAATTTCCAATTTTTCAGTTCGTCTGTTTTAGGTATTTTGTAATATTGTGCTTGCACACAAGTGATACAAATGCAACGGGGAGAGTGATTCTGCTACGGAAGCTGGGAAGGGCAAAGCTTTTCATGTTCAAGAAAACTAGAGCATGATAATACGTTTCAGCGTTTATGGAAGTCATTAGATTCACCAAGGTTGTGTCTAACATCGGTGGTTGTAACATGCACATAAGGTCGGTCGGCAGATATGATACTGTTCAGCCGGCGCAGGGGTCTTTTTTGAAAGGGTTTAACCAGGCCTACAGGTCATTCGCAGCGCTGGGAGAGCTTGCGCGATAGGTGAGCTGGAGAGCGTCGAGCTGACGGGTTCGAGTCATGCGAGGTAATCCATACGAGAAAGCTTGAGGTGGGCTCATTTCATCGCTTCGGCCAGAACATTAGACTGTGGTGAGCGCGCTTCATGTGATTCTTGGGGCGCGTGGCGTGTGAACGAGGTCTCAGGTCAAAGTAGGCAAAGATCATTGGCGGCTTTAGCCATGTTGAACAAAAATGATAACGGTAACCTGGTTCAACAACAATGCGAGATTGGTGGGGGATTATGCTACTTTATTGCCGATGCAGGACGGGCTGAATGGACACAGAGTAAATTCTGAGATAAACTGATAAAACGCTAAAGCAAGGCAAAGCGAAGGTTTATTGAAGCCTTACTATGTATCTTTTTCTTCAAGCCTTAAATTTAAGCCAGACATGCTCTGCTTGAATTTAAATGACCAAGATTTTGCTCGACGCATTGGGGAATGGGTAACCGGAATTCATGTCTCAAAAAATCCCACTGTGGTGTGCATGCTTTTAGCTGCCGGTTTTGGTAACTATGCTGTCGTAACTTATGAGTTGACGTTAATATATTAACTTTTTTGAGGACGATAGTTTAAATAGATAATCTATGAAGTGAATGATTAGGGGAGGCCTTAGTGAGGAAATACCAGTAGCGGATTTGGGATTGCTTACTTCTCAAATTTGCAAAGTTATCATGTAAGACTATGGTCACTCAAAGGTAATTGACGCTAAGAGAGTCTTGTGAAACTTTCGTAATT